CTAAGTGCAATTTGGACATCGTGGTTTATCTCAAAGTGATGGAGCCTAAGTACAACCCATTAAGTCATCATTTATATGTCTTGATTATTAGCTCACCTTGAAGCCAGATGTCAAGTTCAAATTGCTAACTCAAACTTATGCTTGATTATTTACCGAGATGCATGCACTTGATATTGAAAAGAAAGCAAAACTTTGCAAAATATGGCATTCATTAATATTGAGTACATTACAAGAGGTGGACTCAAGGCCAGTACATTGATAGAAACTGAAAAGGAATCCTACACTAAGCTTCAGATGATGGAGGGAGCGCCTTTGCAGCAGGAGCCTCAACAGCTTGAGCGTCAGGCCCCTCTTCAGTCCTTTCAGCTGCTTCTTCCCCTACTGCTCCATCAGCTGGGGTCTGAGGTACCTCATCCACAAACTCAGACCTAAGTTGAGACAGGTCGTAGCCTAGGTAAAGTTCCTCAGCCCTTTCCATCACCTCAGTGTAGCCAAAGTTCCTCTGGTATGCGCTGAAGCTCCAGTACTCCTCAGTGTTGTGGAAATTGGCAATGAACTCCTTAACTGCCTCCTCTCCCGCCACCTTGGCTGCCTCCCTCGCCTTGGCCAGTTCATCAACATGCCATTTTATTTAGTTATTCAGAAAGTTATATGCATCCTTGGCCCCAGCAAGCTCAAGGTTTGTTTTTTCCAGAGTCTCAACAGTGACCTTCTGATGATTATTTAACGTCTCCACCTTTTTAGTGAGGGAGGCCACCTCACACCGAGACTCATATGCCTCCTTCTTCAAGGCCTCTATTTGGGCCAAGGTAGATTCCAACTTGGCAGCATCTTCAACTTTTTGGGCCTTAGTCTCATCTGCCTCGGCTCTCAACCTCTTCAACTCCTCCTCAACAGAGGCTACCTTCTTTTCTGAGGACATGGTCCTCGCTTGGAAGTAAGTGAGGACCTCCATACACTCTAACGCGAGGCCAAATGTCCTTGCGCTTTAGCTTACCAAGGCCCTTGAGAGGTCAATGACATCGCAGGACGAGGCGTGCAGCACCCACCTATCAATCCAAAATTTGTAAAAACTGGCTGCAGCACCCCGGACCTCTTCAGGAAGAGCCTCCAACAAAGTAGAGGCAAGCTCTTCTTCACACCCAGCAAGGAACTTAGGGGATTTTCCCTGGGTCCTTACGGGCTTCTGCCGCGTAGCCTCCACTTCTGCCTTTAATGCAGCCAGCCTCGCTGCCTCTTCTACCACCTCCTCCGCCTCGGCCTTCCAAACCATCTCCACCTTCACCGTCTTTATGGCAGAGTCCATGAGCTTTGCTGGTTAGGAGTCCATGCTGGTTTGGGAAATGGAAGTCCCAAACTTCCCCGAAGAACTGGTAAGGTGGTCCAACTTCCTCTTCTTCTGGGAGTCCTCAGGAACTTTCTCTTTTCCTTGAGGCTCCTTGTCTTTCTCTTTCCTTAGAGCCTCCTCCTCGGCAGCTTGAGAGGTATTGACTTTGGAGAGGCGCTCCACCTTGCCTCTCACCTTTTTAGCCCTGCTTGAACAGGGTTTTAGAGGTCGGGCCCCAACAGTAGTGGTGGCCTTTATTATGGTGATCATGTCGGGAGCGAGGTACTCCCCCCTCCTGAACTTACCTGCAATACGAAGGAACGGATCAGAGGTTATCAATAAGCAAACTTTTCCATCACAAAGTATAGGCACTTCTTACCCTTGGAATCCATAAGTCCGAAGTCAAGGAAATAACGGCTTCGGTCGATGAGATGATCGAAGTCGTGAAGGTTCAGAGGACGCTTGTAAATGTCTTCTATAACGTCAAAATCCGCTTCCTGGAACTGGTACCTCGTACTCGAGTCTACAAAACATGTGACAACAGTTAGCAAAAAACAAATTCCAGAAAGCTCAGTAGAATATAAAGTACAGCTTAGGCTGGGGAACTCACGAGCTTCGTAGTACTGGGTCGGTATTGTAAAAGCCAAGGCTTTGTCCCCAACTACTGTCTGCTAGTTGCCCCGAACCTAGAACCACGACTCCTTCCATCCCTTGATAGAAGAAGGCAATCCTACCACAAAAGGGGCATGCAACCCCCAAGGAGTAATGTAGTGCCACCCCTTCGACTCATCTTTGCCCAAGACTCTGGACTGGAAGAGGGTCTGGAAGACATGCAAAGGCATATCCTCCCCCATCGACACTTCCTTCCACAGGAAGTAAGACCCCACCAACTGGCTCTATCCATTCGACAGAACCTGGGTCGGCGTCAACATAAAATTCCTTAGCATTGCCCTGAAAAAGTGGTACAGAGGAAGACGCATACCCGCCTTAAACAAGTATTCACTGACTGTGACACATCCAAGCCTCGGATAGCAAGCCCGTTCATCAGCCTCGGGGACTAACATTTCTATGTTATGAGGCACGCAGTACATCTCACTTATCCCCCCCAACCTATTCTGGGTCATATTTGAGGGTATCTTGGATGCACCCCACTCCTCCTCATAATTTACGGGCTCTTTGGTCTCGGAGTCCCTCCTATGAACTGACCCCTTCCCAAACGACGCGACGACGACTACCCCCTACCCGAAGTGGACTCCATATCAGAATAAGTTTGGAAAATGGAAAAAGATCACAAAACAAGTTATTCTCGTAAGAAATACCTACGCAATTGACTAAGGACACTGAAAGATGCCGAAAAACAGGAACAGAGCAAAGCTTCAATGTCGAAATATGGTATTTTCAACAAACACAGAATTGCAGAGATAGAGAGGTCACAAAATGGGAGTCTCCTACTTTTTATACAAGTTCAGGTCAAACAACGGCCATCAGATCAAGGCTCATCAAATTTGGGCCCTTCATTGCAGTTTGAATTCGAGGCGTAGAATTCAAACCGTTTTCAAAATCAACAACTCTGATCCAAACGTGCTTTCCACGTACCTCTCCAAATGCGTCTCCTTCTAGAAGCCCCAGTTGTAGCCATCATTGCACATTCAATGCAGCAGTCGTATATGCCTTGGAAGTCGAAATGGTTCTGTAGCCTTTTCTTGGTAACATGAACAAAACATCAAATCATTGGCACAAACGTCGAAGACAATCACATCTTAGCAAGCCTCGAGAGGTTCCATCCACTTCAACGCCTCGGCTTCCACATTTGTTTCTACGCAGTTCAGCCACATCTTAACAAGCCTCGACAGGTTTGATCCAATTCACCGCCTCGACTTCTTCATCTGCTTCGCAGTTCAACCACATATTCTCAAGTCTCAGCAAGTTCAAGACTTCTTCATCACCTTTCCCAATCACAGGAACACCACCACTTTCAATTCCAACCATGATATAAATATCTATACATGGACTTGGGGGACTATTAGTTGAGGTACAAAAATAATTCAAAAGTTCATGCATTACATAAATGACCATACTTAGACTTGGGGGACTATTATTACGTATTGACACTTGGCCAACCCACTGGGCCCATGGCCCACCTCTTCCGACCCACATGACATTTTATCCAAGGCTCCTAGGCCCCATGCCAGACATGGCCCAAGTGCTAATGTCGAAGCTAATATGCCGAAGTGACCTTGTAGCCGAGGCCCTTCCTTCTAAGACCCAATCTTTCTCCGAGGTCTTGAGGCTCTAAACAGCACTCCTACCTAGAGTTCCGGTCTTACACGAGAATTCTTCCTCAGTGATTGATGAGACTCCCATTATAGAGTGCAAGTACCTTATCTTGTTAACGTAGTGGTAGAGCCACCAATTAATTAATGTGTAGCGGGCTAGGAAGTCAAATGTGACATCTATAATTGGACGTGTAAGCTTATGAGATGAGGCCACATGTACTCCTAACCAAGGGCCACGATATACGTTGTAATACTATAAATACTCCTCATGTATCTCTCACAAGGGTAATGCAAGATTCAACACGAACAAATACAACATTCTTTACATTTTACTCTCTTGCAATATACATAAATTCATACTCGCATTCTACAAACATCGATTGGTAATATATCTCTCACAAGGGTAATGCAAGATTCAACATGAACAAATACAAAATTCTTTACATTTTACTTTCTTGCAACATACATGAATTCATACTCGCATTCTACAAATATCGATTGGTAATTATTGTATAATCGTTATGCAAATATATCGCCGGATTCCGAACGTTCTCGTTCCGCACCTTTGAGCCGCTCTCACGCCCCTTTTTACTACTAGTTCTAGACCGTCCACGTATCTTAGCGTGCTAGACCAGGCTCACGTGTGCGCGGGTGGATCCGGTATCTGTTGACAACATATTCTGGGGTCAACAGATCAGTTTAGCTTGGTGTGAGAACAAATGTATAGATTTTGTAGGCTTGCATTATATATACATGCATTCAATTGTTGAGCATATCAAACATATTTTATAAGTCATGAGTCATTGTAGCTGAACTCCCAGGCTCCAAACTTTAATTAATCTCAAGTTCAATCCTTAGAATCTTTAGCACGAAGAGAGGCAAAAGACATTTCCATATTCTAGAGGAGTCTGCTGGAAGTGGATGTATTGGTGGCTTGGTGGTGCTATAAGTGGTGCAGCGGGAGGAATTTTTCAAGAGAGAAGTTACAAAAGGAATTTTCTTGAGAAAGAGAAAGTTGAGCGTTTGGTTCTTTTTGAGTTTTCCAGTTAGGGTTTGCTACGATTAAATGTTATTTTTGTTAAAATTGATCAGAGAGGTGAGATTTTTCTTAATCTTGTCAAGTTTTTGTTCTCTTACGAATCAAAGAATCATTTAATATTCAAATTTTTTGGGCAAGTTTAAATCTACCTCATATTTTTCTCAAGAATAATGTTATTTATCTTCATTAGGGATGATCACGACCTTATGTAACATGTGATGTGCTATTAAATAATTAGGTCTATTAAATGTACAAATATAAGACCCACTTTATTGGTTATCATTTACTGTTCACATTGCATGACAAACTCTTTTCTCGCTTCATGACCTCAGCTCGTACTGAATAATATAACATCGAATTGCGATACAACATTTTAATTGAAAGAAAAACAATCAGCAGACAGACATCAATTTGTTAGATATTGCTGAGTTCCTCAGTCCACGCTTAAATACTTGGCTAAATTCGGCCCAAAATTTGACTTTCCAGCTCCAAAGAGAATACAGAAAGGAAACATGTGTCTCTCTTACAGATGTTCCCTAGCTATTTGAACACATAATTAGGCAAATCTATTATAAATTTCAACACTTGAGAAGGGAGGAGTTGGAGTGGTCCATTTGAAAGCTTGGCCTTCCTAAGGTAAACTCAAGATTAAGTAACTTATCAGAAGAAGACAATGAGCTATTACAGCTATCCAAATTCTCCTTCTCAGATGTGCCGTGGTTTGCCTCGAGTCCGTCAACCTGTGGATTAACAAAATAACGAATTATTGATTTACGTGCTCACAAATATATATCTCATTGTAACAGCATAGACTCTCAGATAAGATGATTTAACGATTAACATAGTAGGTACCGACATGTTTGGTCGAAAAACACTTGCCTAGATATAGATGGATTTCATAGAAATATATATGAGTCGAGACTTTTGGTTATGTCAACCGTACCTTTGTTATATTATCTTCATCATACGAACATCTCAAGTGCCCGTGGGAAGAAAATGCCAGCGAAGCTCTGTTGTTTGAAAAAAAAAAGAATGAAAACAATGCATTAGAGAAAAGCACTTAGAGAAGGAAGATAACTAAGAATGAAGCTTCTGTTTGGTATAAATTTATTAAAATTTCATTTTTTTNTTTTTTTAACTTATTTTCAACCACAAATTCTTTGAATTTAAAAAAAATAAAAAAAAATAAATTATTTTTTAACAAACAATATAGTCAAAAAGGACCAGCCAACGTTTACTGACATTCGACAAAGAATACACTTCCAAATTTCAACTATGGTCATAGAATAAGCCCCTAAATTGCACCAAATGGCACCCTAATCAAACGTGTTATTTATACATTATTATAGAGATTTGAGCCAACCATTTGACTTTTAAAAGGACCTTAAAAATATTATTTTCAAACATCGTCAATATAAGTCATTACTCTCATAAAACTTGATCTCGTGCCCACAGTGGACAAGATTTATAATATTCAATGCAAGTGTGGTGACATATATTGCTGCCACGTCAGCGGTGGAATATGATATGGCAACACGACATTATAACTTATGCCCACTATGGATAGAGATCAAATTCGTTCTCTCATTACCCACGAACATTAGAAGAAAATTTTTCTAAAAATTAGGTAATAGACACATTACATATTCTTTTTTACTTTTTACTTTTCCAATAAATAAATACTAATTTGCATTTTATAGGAGAAATCTTTTATATTTGAGAAGTGACTATTTCTATGCCCTTGTTTGGTTTAAATAAAAATAATTTTTTTTTCTAGATTTTAATAAAAATTGATGGAATACATGGTTGAAAAGTTTTGAACAATTTTATTTTAACTTAATCAAACAGGGACTATATTAAGGTAATTTGTTTTTTTTCCTTTTTTATCTTGTAGTGGGAACAAAATTAATAGATACATTTCCTCAGAGGTTTTTACTCTTTTGTTAAATGATTTTATTGCACATCTTGACAAATAGAGACATGAAACTGCAGAAAAAAATCACTCACTTTTCAGAATTTTCACAAGATAAGCCTTCAACTTCTATCCCTTTCGAGCAGTGCTTGAGTCCCATGTCAGTCTGTCCTTCACCTGCATTTAATTGTAATCATTAAATCAACGCATTTACATTTTCAAACTTCATGAATTGATGCAAAATTTTGTCGTCATTAAATTAATAATCAAAGAGAATAATGGAAAATGGGTCCTTGAAATACATACCAGTTCCTTTCTCAGTGCTCTTCACTGTTCTATACATCTGCATGGAAGCACCCATAAGAAAAAGACTGTTAAAACAAAAATTCAAGATTGGCCCTATAAGTGATGCCTTTTGTCCTAACCACACTGTACTATTCAACTCCCCGCTTCACACTGCAAAGTAGTATTTGGAATCAAGAAAAGGGAATTTCACTTTTATCATTTGATTATTTTATACCTCCGAAAATCATAGGCCAATGAGCGTACGAATGAAAGAATTTTCACTGTTCTGAAATAGATTTTTGTAATTGGTAATGGGTTATAAAGTATGATATATCAAATTATTCATATACTTTAAGAAAGAAATAATAACCCCACCTGCAAGTGACTTTTCACATGAGCTAGGGTTAGATCCTTCACATTCATCAACTCAAGAACTGATTTTGGTGTTGCTCCTGTAAAATTTGCAGAGGAATACAAAACTATATCAAACTCATTTCTTCTTAATAATTTATAATCTGTTAAAGCAGTAAAAGTAAAATATTGTAAGCTATAAATATTGAAGAAGATAATGAAAGTGTTTGAAATTAAGCTCATATTATTTTGACATACTCTCATGGCCACCAAGGAGCTGAACTGCATGAACGAAGTGACTGTGAAGAGTTGAAGTCCATCTCATTCTAGGAGCTCTAGCACTTCTAACTCCATTAATCATTCTCGAACTTCTTTTGAACCCTCGTATCCCATATAAATGAGTCTGATAATGATGAAATTGCGTCGGTATATGAACCGGAACAGGATTCGACCCAGCCGTTTCAAATCCAAGACTCAAACTGGGTTCAACAGGTGGATGATTAAAATTCTTTTCCGGGTGAAAGATACCATTTTCAAGGGTCAAATCACTTCCACTGCTGGTCGAATCATGAGGAGAGCCCCCCTCAGTATTGCAGCCAGGTACTTTCTTCAGCCCATGATCATACTTGGATTCACAGATTGATATCGATGGAGGGCTGATCTGCAGAGACAGATCAGGCATGGTGGAATCTTTCCTTCTCATTTGCTTTGTGCTAAACAACATTATAATTCGAATCTGAGACAAACAGGGAAAGTTGCTTTGAAAAGAGAGAAACGGAGGAGAGAAAAAAGTAGAGTGAACTGTGATTATTATATCATGAGTACTTTATTATTTGCATGGTTTTCTAGCATATCTAGAGAGAGATACCTATCAAGTAGAACAGGTCTAGGGTTTGAATAGAGAACTGAAAGAAGTTGAACAGAGACTTTAAGGAAGATGCAGAAGCTACTAAAACTAGTCAGATTCATAAAACGCAGAGGAAAAAACGGTGAGTAGACAGAATTTTCGGGATGAAGCTATCAAGAAAAGTAAGTGAAAAGTGGGAGATATGTATTTAAGGATGCAGAAGCATCACAGACTTTTTCTTCAGCACGCAGAGAGAGAGACGGAGAGAGTAATGAAGGAATTGATTGTGTTTCCGAGAAAACAAAAGGAGTACTGTGTACACAAAGAATATTGGAAAGAGGAACTGAGTTCCTCTCTACCTTGATGAATATATTATCTGTTAAAATTCCTTGCTATTTTTTTAATTTATCAGAAATTTTTATCATGGAAAAGGATTTGAGTAGCAGGCAAAAATTTGTATTAATTGGTCTTCGTCAACACCATTAATATTCCCTCTCCGTGTCCAAATATTCCTTGGTCCACCCCACCCCACCTCACCCCCAATCCCCCAGAGGGCTGTCGAGGCGATCCTCAGAAGACTGAGAGTGGATATGAAAACTGAACCGCATTTTCCGGCTTAAACAATGTTCCACCACGTGACTTGTGGGCGTGACCATGTCGAGATGACAGACTCCCTTTGTTCTCTTCTCTTGTTCTTATCATTTCCACTTTTTTGTTGTTTTCGTATGAACAGTATATTCTTCCTTTGCCCTTAATTCGAGGATGTATTTTACACCTGTATTTATCGAACGAAAGGTACATAAATGCGACTT